CAAGAATGTAAGTAGCTGAACTTGAAGAATGACTACAGAGTAATTCATCACATATATCAATGTGACATAATTGAACCATGTTACAATGTGGTGAAAGTCCTCTTGTATCATAATATACACGCACAACAGAAGCATTAGCCATCATAATAACATTGACACCACTTACTAATTCAACTCCAACATAATATTTTGAAGCTTCAACAATGTCAAAAGAATGAGATGCTAGAGTAGGCTGCCTTGGTGTAACTGGTGATGTAAAACAATATGAAATCATGTTACTTGAATTATCATTTTCTACAAATGACAAGAAATTTTGAAATCGAGTAAGACTTGTGAAGAGATATAAACAAGCTGAATATGAGGAATCAAGTCTTTCATTCGATGTTATAGATACATTGTAATGAAGTATAGATCCAGGAAGTAAATAGATTGGTGTGACGAGTCCAAGGTAATTCAAATCGTATCGAATTGAACTGATGGAAAGATGTTTAGGAGGAAGATGGTCAGTAATTTTCGGTGGTTCTGTGGCTGTCACAAATACAGTACCTTCTGGAAACATAAAAAATGTAGCTGACGATACAGAATAATTAGCTTTTATTAGAGCAGAACTATTAGATAGAATATCTCCAACTTGAAGAGAAGTAGTAGGGCCTGTAACTGGATTTCTGATACCCAAAAAAATGACGATAGCAATGCAAGACAAAGTGAGACAACAATAGAAAACTGTACATAAACTTAAGCATAAAGGGCTAGCTTTGGAGAGTCCAGCTAAAATTATGATAAAAATTAACACAGATCCAGATTAAGTATCTATAGAATAACATACCTTCATTAGACCTGTCCATCTTGCCAGGAAGACAGACAGGCTAAGACAGCAGAGCCAGGGAATGGGATCCACCCTATTTTCAATTGGCAGTTGGCATGTGACTTTTTCATGCAGCAATGAATACTATAAATAAAAAATAATAATCTATGGTATTGATGGTAAAACTACACCTGAATGCCCATAGATGCCTGAGCTGCAGGCCTGACAGCCTGAGGCCTCACCCACATTGACAGTTAGGCCACGTGTGATGTTGAGCAGAAAGAAAAGGAGGAAGCAAGAGCGACAGGAAAAGAAAGCCAGAAAATATGACAGATACAAGAAGCTCAAAGGATTAGCCAACACTGCCGAGCAATCTAGAGAAGAAAGAAAAAGACCAGTGGCATCTCCAGTCAAGAGGAAA